CATCCCAGGGAAAAGGAACTTGGAAGTAAAAGGAGGGAGAGAACCGAAACAAGAGCCTGGAACCAGCATTGTGAATAAGTGATGTTGGAGCCCCTGAGGTGACTGTAGCAAGGTCTTCAGATCCAGCTATAGAAAACCATATGTGAAAGCAAGGCGGTGGTGGCGCACGCCTTTAATCCCAGCCCTCACGAGGCAGAGGCAGGTGGATCTCTGTGAGTTTGAGGCCAGGCTGGTCTACAAAGGGAGCTGAGAGCTGTCACACAGAGAAACCCTGTCCCCCGCCAAAACAAAAACAAAACAAACAAAAAAAGAAAACCATACATGAGAGTGGAAGTTTCTAGAGAAGAACTGAAGGAGGCAGGAAAGTTCAGATGCTCTCCCTATGGCAAGCTCCCTCCCTTCAGCTCCCCTGGCCTCAGGATTCAAGCTGGAGGTAGCATAGCTAAGCTCAGAAGTTGAAATTTCTTGCACTAATAGGAAGAAGCCATCCCAACAAGGTCCTCTCTTTAGACTTCCTTAACAACAGATGTGGCAGCCTAGGTGTGGCTGGCAGGCACCTGTCACCAAGCTGGCCTCTGATGACTACACAAAGCCTGTGCTGCTGCCTCTGAGTGGAAACAGCATCCTTGCTGGGCTTCTCCTTAGCCCTGAGCCACAAACTTTAAACTGTCACTGGGCTTCCTGTTCCGTGCTAGCAAGTGGCACTTAGGCTACACTAATGCTAGCCTTGACCTCCTGGGGCTTTTCCAAGCTCTCTCACCAAGACAGAACTGGGTACAAACATGGAAGAAAGTGGGTGTGTGGGTAAGGGCAGGAAGGGAGGAAACAGTAAGAAAATGGAAAAGAGAATGAGAATACACCAACGAAGGAGAGTTAGGTGGGGCTGAGAAACGGGGCGTGGAACGAGCTTGCCGCAGTGGAGCTAGCTCGGGCTGCCCCAGGAGCGCGAGCGGCAGCCGGGGTCTGTGGCTAACAGCGATGGCAGGGTGACTCCCAGGACTCTCTGGAAGCAGACTGGCACTTACCCTGGCTACTATGACAGAATGGTACACTAATTTGCTTGGAACTTGGAGCCCTAGCGTTTTCTCAGGTGAATCGTGGGTAGTCCTAAGGAGGCTAGAAGCCATGTGAGAAACAGGCGAGCGGAAGTGGCCGCAATCAGGGCTTTCTTCTCCAGAGCTTCTGTGATGTTCCTCTTCTCAGTGTCCGCACTGGCGCTCCGCACACAGCCTATAGGCAGGACAATGGAAGCATGGAAGCATTCCTTCCCCCTGTTCTGATTCTGAGCTCTCTGGCTGATGCCATTGAGGTCCATGGAGTACAGAAAGGTGGTTTGGAGCTACTGTTCCATAAGGGATTTACCATCCAATGCAGGTTTGTCAGAGACGGAAGACAGCATACTTTGAGATGGGAAGTGGGCTGACCGTGAGTTTTCAAGTCAGATCAACTTGATTATAACCACCTGCTGGGGCTGGAGTAAATGTCTGCATGCTGTTTACCTCATGCACTAACCGTGCCCTGGTGCCTACCTAAGTGATGTTAATACACTCAGCTTCACAGTGATTTTAGGAGATTTTTTAATTAGCCCCCTTATTTTACACGAGTAGTATCTAACATACACGGAGAAGTTAAGCCCCTTATCCAAAGTCACAGATAGGATGTGACAGAACAGTGGATTTAGAATCGTACTGGCTGGTGGTTGGTTGGTTTGTTTGTGTCTCAGAAAGTATACAGTTGTTGAGGAGCAGGACCGGCCGGTACCTTGGTGCTTAGTGGGTCCTCACAGAGCAAGGCGGGAGATGCTGTATTAGCATGTGGGTAGCATGACTAGGAGGCTCTGAGCAGCAGAAATCAGGTCCTATTAGAATGTCTGGAGGAGGCTTCACCTTCAGGGTGAGTTAACAAACAGGATTTCAGTCTTTGGGATAGATAGGGTTGGGGGAGTAGTCTAGAAACTTCAGAAAAGACCAGCACTCCAATCTCCCCTGCGCATTCTCAGGAGAGCTAATGCTGTTTCTGTTACTGCCACCCCACCTATCTATTCCCGAGTCCCCAAGGCGGGGCCTGCTCACTTCCGCCACCAGGCGTGTAACATTGCTGGCGGACTGCTCTGCTTGCTCCGTCACTGACCCCTGACCTTCACCTCCTATAAAACCAGCTTATAAATCTTACCCTAGCCAAGCCGTGACTTGGTTGGCCTTGTCTGCCCACTCAAGGTCTGTCTCGTGCTCCCCTGGGTCCTCAGAGTGAACTGCATGGTAATTTGCTCTCACTAGCCTGTTATTTCAGCCTACCTAACGCTGGGTGGCAGTGGCGTGTGTGGAGCTGTGTGCGTTGCCCCTTCCAGGACGGCAGGAGATGAGCTGGTGCCAACTCAATGGAATTTAGAACTTGGGCGAATTCCTCTCGTCTTGAGTCGTTCCCAAAGCTGGGTGCAGCAAGCGTTAGGACTCTCTCCAGGGTGTTCCTCCCACTCCTTGATGCACCAGGCTTCGGCACGGTGACCATGCTGAGCAAAGCACGTTCTGATGCTGGGGATACAGAGCCCAGGAGGCATTTTTCCCCTTGGAGGTTTTGGGACTACAGCATCATAGCGGGACTACAGCATCATAGCGGGACTACAGCATCATAGCGGGACTACAGCATCATAGCGGGACTACAGCATCATAGCGGGACTACAGCATCATAGCGGGACTACAGCATCATAGCGGTTTGATCACTTATGATTTTTTAAAATCTATTTTCCTCTTTTTTTTCTTTTTTTTTTTTTTTGGGCTGGATATCAAACCCAAGGGCTTGTGCATGCTAGGCAAGTACTGTAACAGTAATATGTATCCTTAGTGCTTTCTCTCTCTCTCTCTCTTTAAAAAGGTAATTGATATATAATGAATTTCCCTTCAGTAAGGAGTTCGCAGTTCTGTGTTTAATTTTCACTACAATTCCATGAGTAGATATCATCTCCATTTTCTAGTAGGTAAACTCATGACAGAGAGGCCAGCATTCGTGTGTGTTCTACCGTATGGCACTGTGTGGTGAAACTTGTCCTGCCCAGAGGTTTTGCTTCCATTTAAGTTAAAATAAATGATCTTTATCTTGGTGGTTATTAGCGCAAGCCTTTATGTGAACATGTGAAGAGATATATATTGCCCACCCTTGCCCTCCTTGGACGCTAGTCCAAGCCAGAGGCATTGGCATGGATTGGCTGGATAAGGCAGTAGGCAGCAGAATTAAAGGAAGAATCTACCATATGTTCATGACGGTGTGAGCCAAGTTGCCTGGGTGTGTCTCCATACTGCCAGACCACAGGACCACATTTTCTTTTTCTTTTTGAATATTTATCTATTTATTTAATGTACATGAGTGATCTGTCTTCCCTTATACCAGCAGAGGGCATCAGATCCCACTACAGATGGTTGTGAGCCACCATGTGGTTTGCTGGGAATTGAACTCAGCACCACCGGAAGTGTCCTTAACAACTGAGCCACTTCTCCAGCCCCACAGGACATTTTCAATAGCCATTCTAATTCTCTCTCCCTCTTTTAAAAAAAGCTGCCACCATCCTCCCCAAGTGTGTACACACATAAATGCGTATTTAAGTGTGTGTGTATATGTGTGTGTGTATGTATGTGTATATATATATTTTAAAAACAATTTTCTTTGGGCAGCAAGTGGACAGTTGAATGGGTCATAAGGCCAATAGTTCCGGGATTCCTATGTTTAGATAATAATGGGGAAAGTTTCAGACCTGCCCCTGCCCCCAGTAGCAATATAGTGAAATTTATTCTTCAACGTATACCATTTTCATCTGTTAACACTGAGCTTTTAAGGTAGAATAAGCATCTACAATTAATATATGGAAGTATGAGATTACAGCTCTGAAAACAGATAAGAATTTTAATCCTACCATCGAATATTCAGCCACATACCTGACACTGGCTGGCTTATCTGGGAGCTTGCTGAACCTCAGTTGCCTTGTATGCAATTGGGAAATTTATCTCTACCACACAGGCTGCCCAGAGGATTGAGTGAGATTATATGTGTAAAATGTGTAACCTGAGGGTTAAAGTGTTCTTGTGAAATTTTAATTTATATTTTCAGGAGCTAATACATTTGGGTACAAACATTTTAGAATGATGAGCTGTGAAAAAAGTTCCTTTTCAGTGTCGTCTTTTGGCCTCTATTTCTTATCCTTTATGCATATTGGACCTCAACAAATCCTCATGTGTTGGGCAAAGCATGGTTTATGAGTCTTCTTTTTCAGGCATTAAAAATAGAAGCCTGAGCGGGGTAAAGAGGTCACCAGAGGTCACTCAGATGAACTGAGGTTGGAACCCACAGGAGAAAGTGTGGTCAGGGATGAGCTCCGCATTGCTGAATTCTGCAGTGGGGCCATAGGCTCCTTTGACAACCCTTGGAGTGCTATGGACCACTCCCCGCCCTCGCTTTAACTCTTACTATGATTTTAAAATTATATAATTTATAACCATACTATCTTACGGTGTATTTTTAAAAACGATGTGTACTTGTGTGTATCTGTGTGTAGACATGTACATGTGAATGCAGGTCCCTGCAAAGGTTAAAAGAAGGCACCAAATGTCCTGCAACTGGAGTTACAGGCGGCTGTGAGCTGCCTGACGTGAATTGAACTCAGGTCCTCTGTAAGAGCAGTATGTACTCTTAGCCTCTGGGCCATCTCTCTAGTCCTAGACTCCTTTTCCCCCTCCTGAGACAGGGTTTCTCTGTAGCTTTGGAGCCTGTCCTGAAACTAGCTTTGTAGACCAGGCTGGTCCTGAACTCACAGAGATCTGCCTGCCTCTCTGCTTCCCAAGTGCTGGAATTAAAGGTGTGGGGCCACCACCATCTAAGTTCTTTGGTTTTTGTTGTTTTGTTTTTGGTTATAGACTCTAACTTAGATGATTTTACATTTTATGAGGATTTTAGATCTGAGTCCTCTATCACTGAAGTTCACACTGTAATGCCTTCTTTGCATTCATCCCCAGCAGGGCTGTAGGAATGCCTCTGGAGAGCAATAGCACATGTCTGATGAGCTGCCAATCAAGCCTGCTCCCTGAGAAGCCCAGGTTTCTGAATCAGAAGATGTGGGCTCCACACTTAGCCATTGCTTATCTTATCTCTGTGACTTTGGGTGAGTTCCTCCGTTTCTCTCAGTCTTTGCCTATTAGATAGTGTTGGGATTCTTTGCTCCCAGGGACTGGTGAGCTAACATGCATAAAGCGTCCTGTTCCAAATCGTGTACTCATAAACAAATCTGTGATATTATTTCTCTCTGAGAATCCTGGGGAGGCCGAGGAATCCAGAAAGAAGTGGATTGATTATTCTGCAGCTCAGAAAGTGCCTTGTTACTGCGTACCCTTCCCTGGATTAGGCTTCCAGAATCAAGGTCCCCAGCCTTGGGTGTGAGTGCTGACTCATGTAGGATTGACTATCCATTCCCCTAGCTGATCTCAGCCCCGTGTGCTTCTTTCAGCCCAAAGGGAGCAATAATCCCATTATGAAGACATGTCTCATTAAGACATCTCTAAGATAGAGCCAGCAAACAGCCCTGTAGACGCTAGGTTGTTGCCTGGGAAAGCTTCTGCTCCCTTCCCCCATTCATTAATGGATATGGGAGGTTTTATTCCCCCCAACAAAAGTGTTAATTAGACATTGCTCTGAACAGGGATATTACACAAATGAATTAAACCTAAATCAATCAGCAAGCCAGCTCTGTGCTTCAGGTCCCCCGGATGAGAAGGGAATCGAAGGCTGTAACGGGAAACAGGTGGTGGGATGTCTTCCCTCTGTTTCCAGCACCAGTTTTCAGGCAGATAGCTTTATTCTCTCACTTTCTTTGCCTTCCTGCTTCCTTCCCTGTATCCAATCCCCTTTCCACCGCACGCATGCACACCCACAAATGGCCTTGACGCCTTGAGGGTCTGGATTCAGTTTTCGTAACTGAAGTTGGTCTGGATTTACCAGTAGTGCTTCCTGGGCGCCTTGTTGTGCTCAGGGTGGATATGCCAATCAAAAGCCACCAAATGCAGTCACACCCTACCATGGCCTTTCCTTGTGGCCCTAGTTTTCTCACCAGAAAATGGAGTGTAGCTTGCTCGTGTGTGGCAGGGAGGGGAACCTGTACAATCTGAATGGCTGGGTGACTTCTGGATCTCCGTGGACTTGTGATGCTGGTCATCCCTTGTGCATTGAACGCAAAAGCAGTGAATTATGAAGGAGATGGGCCAGTGTGATGGCTCACAGGCAAAGGCCTGATAACCTGAGTTTCCTCAAAAGTGGGCTTCTATTCACATGTGCACACGTTTGCACACATGCACAATGAGCAAATAAATAAATGTGAAAAATTAAAAATCTAAATGGAAAAGTCCTCATAAATGTACAAATGAGCCAGGTATGTTGGCATATACCTGTAATCTTAACATTGTTGGCTGAGCCGGGAAGATTGCATGAGTTCAAGGCCAGCCTGGCCTACATATAAGCAAGACTTCACCAACACACACATTATGAACATGTCATATACACCACATATTCACCACATATGAACTCCACATATGCCACATATAATATATTCCATACACACGTATGCCAAACACATGAACATAAGATAGGACAAAAATTAAGTATTAGGTATGTAATTGGGAGAATAGGTCTGTTGAGAACTGTGGAGAAGTTGGAACAAGGATTCTTGTCGCTCTGATAAGGGGGGCCAGTTAGGGGCAAGAGATGCAGAGGGACGGTGATGAGTTGGGCCACCAGGTTTGTGCCAGGGAAGGGTATATGTGCCTCTATCTGGCACAGAGCAGAGTTTGAATAAATGCATGAAGCAGCACTTCTTTCTTTTTTTTTTTTTTTTGGTAAAGACTTATTTATGTCATTAATTAATTTATATAAAGATTTTGTTTACTAGCACACACACAAACTATGTGTGTGTATGTGCGTGTTTGACTGCGGTTGCTGGAGGATGCCAGAAGAGGGTGTTGGACCCATGGAGCGGAAGCCGCTCTCTCACGTGGGCTCTAGGGACTGAACTGCAGTCCCCTGCAAGAGTAGCAAGTACTTACCGAGCCATCTCTCTAGCCCCCACCTCCTTGTCTTTGAAGGGGCAGCCTGCGGTTCCAGGCCAGGCAGGAGCTCCCGGGCGCTGTTATCTGCTGTGCCCACTCCTAGAAGCCCATTTCTGTGGCCCTTTCTTATTACCAGCCCACCAGAAGCTGTCCGCTCCTTCTCTCGAGCTCGGCCACTGCAGGCTTTTCTCTAGTCAGCCCTTGGCTACACACCACTGGGTTCTTGCTCAGAGGCAGATGAACATTTTCGTTATTCCTTGTTTGTTTGTTTTGACCTTCAGTGTTGGAGGTTGAAGCTAGGACCTCGTGCATCCTAGCCAAGTATTGTACTGAGCTGAAGTCTCGGCTGCCTCTGTTTCCTACAGACTCACCATTCACACCTCCACTCTACCTTAAAAAATTGTTTTATCCTATGCGTGCGAGTGTTTTACTTGCATGTATATGCGTGCACGATGCCCCTGCCTGCTGTCCAAGGAGGTGAGAAGAGGGCACAGAAGTCCAGAACCGGACTTACAGGCAGCTGTGAGCAGCCTTTTGGGTGCTAGGAATTGAACCAGGGTCCTCCCATCCAGACACTGAACTCTTCATTTTCCAGAAGTTTATAATCGGGTGGTGAGCAGCGCCCCCAACAGGAAAGCCATTCTCTGGTCTCTCTGGTATCTCTTTCACTGCCCTCTGTGATGTGACAGGGAGAGAATGGGCAGCCGTAGTGCTGATTTTCCATCGCTGTAACAAAATGCCCGTGGCCATAAGACAGGAAGTTTGAGGATCCAGTCCTGCATCGGTTGGCTCTATTCTTGTGGGCTTGTGTCAAGGCCGTCTGTCCTAGCGGGAGCACACAGCAGAGGGAGCTCCTCATGTCATGGGGCTTGGGAAGCAAATACAGCTGAAGAGGAGAACCCAGAGTCTCAGTAACCCGGCCGTCGTCCAGTAGGTCCCATCTCCTCGGGTGACAGCACTTTCTCAATAGCCCTACAAACTAGGAAGCACACTTTCAGCACACGGGCCACTGGGGCCGTTTCAGGCTCAGACTACTGGGAGGAATCGGATGTGGGCTCTGCCTTATGGTCTCTGACCAGCAGTGAGAACTCAGGGAATTGATTGAGCGTCTCTGAGATTCAGCTGCTTAGGGCTGAGATTTCATGGCTCAAAATGAAAATGGATGTGGAAGTGTTTTGTGAGTGCTTAGCTGTTCATCAATGTAAGCAATTGCTATTTCTTGCTGTTTCTGTTCATTTGGTGCTGAAGGACTGGAGGTCTTTGTGGGTGACACCACAGGCAGGTAAAGCAGACATGCTTATGGGTCTGAGCCTATCCAGAGATGCTAGAAACACTTGTTTCCCATCCCACCACATATAAAGGAATTCTTTTTCTTTCATTTAAAAAAAGAATAATCAAAGCGGGCTGGAGAGATAGCTCAGTGGTTAAGAGCACTGGCTGCTCTTCCACAGGACCCAGGTTCAATTCCCAGCACCACATGGTGGTTCACAGCCACCTTTAACTTCAGATCCAGGGAATCCTATGGCTTCTTCTGGCCTCCATAGGGAGGGGGGTCAAGGCATGCTGGAGAAAGAAAACCAACACTTAAATTGCATGGTGTGTGTGTGTGTGTGTGTGCTTTGTGTGTGTGTGGTATGTGTAGTATGTTTGTGCAGTATATATGTGTGTGTGGTATATGTGAGTGTGTGTGATGTTTGTGTGTGGTATGTGTAATATGTTTGTGCAGTATATATGTGTGTATGGTATATGAGAGTATATGTGAGTGCTTGATGTTTGTGTGTGTATGTGTGTGTGCTGTATGTATGGTGTTTGTTTATGTGAGGTGTGGTATATATGAGTGTGTGTAAGTGTGTGTACTGTGGTATATGTGAGTGTGGGATATGTGAATGTGTGTGTGTTGTTTATGTGTGTGTGGTATGTGTGACTGAGTGTGTGTGTGTGTGGTGCATGTACATGGTGTGTATGTATGTACTTTTATTTATTTCTGCCTTTCAAAAAATTGCTTTTGCCTATTTCCTTCCTTTATTTACTTCCTGGGTTGTGTCTGGTCTTAGACCCTTAAAACTTCACTGTAAATTTTAGCAGCTCTCTTCCTTTGTCACCTGTATAGGCCACTCTTACGCATCCTGCTAATGGGTCAGTTACTTACCATTACCCAGTTTCTGTTTTCTTTTAGAAGAAACCAGGTGAGAACAGTCCACTTGGATTAGCCTGAGGCTATGCGCTCGGAGAGAGGGACGTCAGACAGTCCTGACACACCTGTCACACAGTGTCACAGCAGAGTCCAGACAGTCCTGACATACCTGTCACACACACAGTGTCACAGCAGAGTCCACACAGTCCTGACAAACCTGTCACACACAGTGTCACAGCAGATTCCAGAGAGTCCTGACACACCTGTCACAGTGTCACAGCAGAGTCCAGACAGTCCTGACACACCTGTCACACAGTGTCACAGCAGAGTCCAGACTGTCCTGACACACATGTCACACACACAGTGTCACAGCAGAGTCCAGACTGTCCTGACACACATGTCACACACACAGTGTCACAGCAGAGTCCAGACTGTCCTGACACATCTGTGCACACACAGTGTCACAGCAGAGTCCACACAGTCCTGACACACCTGTCACACACAGTGTCACAGCAGATTCCAGACAGTCCTGACACACCTGTCACAGTGTCACAGCAGAGTCCAGACTGTCCTGACACACCTGTCACACACACAGTGTCACAGCAGAGTCCAGACTGTCCTGACACACATGTCACACACACAGTGTCACAGCAGAGTCCAGACTGTCCTGACACACCTGTGCACACACACAGTGTCACAGCAGAGTCCAGACTGTCCTGACACACATGTCACACATACAGTGTCACAGCAGAGTCCACACAGTCCTGACACACCTGTCACACACAGTGTCACAGCAGATTCCAGACAGTCCTGACACACCTGTCACAGTGTCACAGCAGAGTCCAGACTGTCCTGACACACATGTCACACACACAGTGTCACAGCAGAGTCCACACAGTCCTGACACACATGTCACACACACAGTGTCACAGC